ATTGCGGATATACTTGGGCAGCTGCAAGTGTCTCCCGTTCCTAAAGTCATTTACTTGCACAACAACCACAATTGTTTTGCCTATGAAAATATTATCCTTATTTTTTGTTTGTTCGCCTCGAATTACCCATGGATTTATTGGCCAACTTCTGTCCAGCTGCCGAGATTAAGAAAATGCATGGTGTATTCTTACGGCTGATCCCTTGACCTTTTCTGCTGCAGATGTGTCCTAGATAAATGTTGAAAAACATTGGGCAACATTGCTGTTGCAATTTTTACTTTTTTTTGGCATAATCCCCAAGGAGTGAGTTTACCTCTAAATGGGAGAGCAGTTCATTGAATTGAGGCCATTCAGTAAGTGATATTTTGCGGGAAAGGTTGATGCGGTTGCAAAAAGTAGATTACCAACCGATCCAATTGTTGTCTAATATGTCTAACCTTCAATAGAAAAGTAGATCATTGGATATTCAAGTGTTGGGTTAAAATCTTACAAAGGGTAGAGGGTATTACATGGTACTCATGGGTTAATAATACGTAAGTGCCAATCATGGTACAATGGAATGGTTGGGATATAAGTTGCAATAATGAAAGAAAAGATACAATAGTTATTTTTAACATACTTGATATATTTATATTATATATTATATTATCATACTTTAAAATCTTAAATATATATATAAATCTTACGTGATTTTAAAGAAAATAAATGAAACAATAGATATTATAAACATAGTTGACATATTATATATTAATAAGTAATTATGGTAAAATTATATATATCTTCGTAAAATGTAATCTTACATCCCAAGTGGTTTAAAAGCAGAAAATTACGACTAAAAATCAATTTTTAAACGTTTAGTTGTTGCTCTCTATTATATAAAACTTTAAAAATTAAGGGAAACCATTTCTTACTTTCTTTATTTTATTTATATTAACATAATTTTAAGCCATTAACATGTCTTTTTAAGTTGCAATTAATAATCTAAAGTATTATGCCCATAAAAAAGGTAGGACAACTGCCATTCCAATTTCCTTACTGGGCTTAAGCATCAAGTCACGCCCTCAACGACGACCACACCCCCAAAACTCAACATCGTGAGCAAAGGTAAAAATGTATAAAACAAAAACGAAAAAACACAAAAAATGCAAAGATAAAACCACATTAAAAGCGGCAGCCGCCAAAGTCATGAATTACAATGCTTAAAATCGCTCATTAGGAACTAAAAATTGGTAAACTTAAGGCGATAAAGATCTGCTCGAAAGCAGCGACAGTCAGACATGGCTAAAGCGAACAATGGATATGGTAAAAATAGAGGCAGGCGAAGAAAGAGCGTGTGGAAATAATTTGGTTACAATTAAATAACAAAAGAATTTGTTTGGCAACTCTTGTGCGCTTTTTGGCCAACAACGTATGCCCCATTATGGCCACCACCTGTCCCGCCCCCTTTAACCTCCGCCCCTCTTTTGGCGGCATTACAAAGTACTGTACTGTACTCCCCCCCCCCCCCCCAATATAAGCATTTCCAATGGCATTGTCCAATTGTTAGGGCTCAGCTTCAGCTGTCCCGCTCCAGATTAAGCTGCGACTATAATTAAGAGCGGAACGGGTCAGCAAAGGAGTGGAAATCGCGGGGAATGGGCAACTGTTTACCATAACAATGAGCTGGTTGCAGGGGAAAACACCTTGGATACACAGCGAAAAATCTAGGACATAAATTCAAATTTAAATTTTAAAAATAAAAAAACAAAACAAAAATTTATAAGCATAACAAAACTAAACATTTTTTTCTATTCTCCAATTAAAAATTGTGGGTACACAAATTTATTAAGCTTCTAAAAATTAAAAAAAAATTGTATTTATATATATAATTCAACATATAATTGTACTTCTGAATTTGTTTATTCTCTTGTTATTCCTTACTTGTTTTTTGGCAAAGCAATCATTTTTTTCCATAGCTTAAAATAACTTATTACAATAAAGCGAAGAGTAGTATTATTGTTTTCTGTGCATCTGCAAGAAAGAAAAACTTTTGTCGCTGGCCTGGTCAGGTGTTAATGTCTGTGTTTATGGCCCAAGTGAATAGAGCCGACTCCTATACACTATGTGAGGTGTGCAATTATCGTCATTAGTCCCCCGCCCCCGTCCAATTCTCCCCGCCTTTGATCCATCATTGTTCTTCTGACGTTTGCCGCTTTAGTTGCGGCTTGTTGTGTATCGATGTTGCATGCTATAATTTTGAAAATAATAAAATGATTTCTTCATGCCAGTCACAGTTGTGCTGCACACACACAGCACACACGTCATAATCATCCCAAAAACCCAAACCCAAGTCCAAACCCCAACCCCATCGCCTTCGTCATTATGCTGATGATCATCGGTCTCGCCTCATCCAATTATTACAGTTTAGCCATGCCACAAGTCAAACAAAAGATCCCAGGGCTGTCAGATGTTCTCCTCTTCTCGTTGGTTTTTTAAAGGTTACCCAAAAAATGGGGTTGAGTGGGTTCCTTTCGGTGGTTGCCTGAGGACCCGAGGTGTTAATGAGTGGGTTACAAAATTGGAGGGTGCGCGATAGGATATCACTAAGAATAATTTTACAAACATTTAAAGGTTGCCTTCAACCAAAAATAATATTTCAAAAGTATGTAAGCCGCCATTTTCCAAATTTTTTTAAGGATTAAAGCAATAAAGCAAATATTACTTTGACTAATGTAAAATTTAAATTAAGTACGAAATACTTGGATTTATTACATATCTTTTAGTTGATGTGTAGCTCAAGATATAGATAAGATAATAATCTTGTTTATTTTATTTACCTCAAAATTTATAAAATGAAAAAAGAATTTTTGTATGATAAAAAGAACTATCTATATTATATATTTATTTGCTGCCTCTCCGCTAGGAAACGGAACCACTGACATATTTTAACCTCTTTCCATTGCAACACTTTGTACATTATTAACTCCTACTCGTCTAATGGGCTAATCAAGCGTATTACAAGACCCGCAACAAACTGGCGCCACATTCATTCAATCTAAATCAGAGTTTAGCGCAATTCTCGGCGCTCTTTGCGACATAAAGTTTCTTGAACTTAGGCCTCAGCCTCAGACACACAAAAATACGATGGATCTGTGCAAGTTAATTGAGTCAACTGTGAGTGCCTGTGCCATCATGCGATTGTGAGCGGGAATCGTCTGAATGTTGGGGTAATTCGACCGAGATGTTTATACAGACAATAATCCGTCGCGCAAGGCGAATAAATTGAAAGAAATGGGGAAATGTGGGGAGAAATCTGGGGGAAATCTGGGGGGATGTCTGCCGAAACCTCCTGAGAGAGAGATTTACGTGGAAAAGAGACAAACAAATAAATTTACTTTGATTGAATAATGGTCGCATAATTGGCAACTTGAATGGAATTGAGTAGCAGGCAAAACGCAATTGAAAACTGTAACAACAAATGCAGTTCGCAGGAATACGAGTAGAGCCGAGTATTAACTAAGTGAATTGGATAATCTCATTCGCATTCCCAATCCCATTCCGCAGTCTAAGATTTCTTCGCCTCAATTGAAATGTGCAACTGAGAAATGTCAGCCGGCAATTGTCGTCTAGATGGATGCGAATATCACGCATACGCCCCGTAAGGTGCAGTTGCACAATCGCAGTTTGTTAACCCCAAAGCTAAACGATGAATCACCACCTTGATTGCGATTATGGGTATGGGTATGGGTAACTGAAAGATCGAACTGCAGTCAAGGTGCGCCAGACAGCGACTAAGAAAAATGGCTGGTTATTAGCCAAACTATTTTTACCGATCTTAATGTCATTTAATAAATATGAGTTGGCGCCATAATCTAAAATAACAACCCACTGTAATTTACATCGAACAACATAACCTTCAATAAACCATAGCCTTCAATAAATAATGTTAATGAATTTTCTTAGGAAAAATATTTATAGCCGGAATTCTCACAGAACTACACTGGTAAAAAACGTGGTAAATCCAAATAAAATAAAAATTTTTAAGTCGTCAATCAACGAACTATCTTTAAGCCATTCCGGATTCCCTTTCTTTTAATTTGTCGTAGTGCTTGGAACATGCGCTAAAATTTGATTTGAATTGACACTTGGCAGTGGCTTCTAGCGCTTTTTCCACAGCGGCAATTACTGCATACCCATATGCTTATAGGAATATATATGAGTGTGCCTGCCAGTTATTAAGGACTTCCTGTTTATCCGATTGCCGACAAGTTTGTCGCGACAACAGATTCATTTAGCGGCCACTGCAGTTCAATTTAACACCCGCCGACACAAACAATTCCCAAGCTCCCCCGCAGATCTCATTAATTTTTGTCTTTTTGTGTTTTCAATTTTTATTTCAATAGAGTTTTAATTGGTTTCTGTTTTTCAGTGTCTAAATGTACAATAATATATATAAATTAAATAGTGCTTAGTTCTTTGCCTGCAACGCTTAAGTATCGTTAATCATATTACATAAATATATCGTAGATATGTGACAACAAGTTACCAACTCTGAAACACTTGTTCTAAAAACCTTTGCTGGAGTTTTGAAATCTGGTTTTAAAGGGCTTCTGGGTTTGCAGCTAAAGATCAAATTTTATCTGGTGATTGACAGACTATTATATGTTATAAAAAAAAATAAAAAATGCTATCATCAGTTTTTTGTAATATTTCTGTTGCAATAAACAAACTAAAACCTTTTTTCCAATATGTAATTTAAGGTTATAATTTTGATTTAGCTATTTTCTGAAGATTTTCAAAACAGGAAAACAAATATATTGTTTTAACGTTTTAATTTTTCTTTAATTTCCTGAGAACAAAAATACGGCTTTTTAATTTTTCTTTATGAATTCTTTTTTATGATTTTTTTGAAATATATATATTAAGGAATAATTTTAATTGTTTCAAAGAAATTAAAAAATTTTAATGATTTTTTACTCTATAATCTTTTGAACTTTTTAATCAACTTTTTTATAAACGCTGACATAATTAAACAAAAACAAAGATTTTGTGCTTTCACTTGGCTTTTAAAATTGTTATTAATACTTTTTACTGTCCAACTCTGCAAAGGTTTCTATTAAATTCGGTTGACCGAATCTGGTTTCTTCTTTAGCTCCTGTTTTGATTTTCTTTTAATGTTATTTCCCCCCCGAGTTTTTCATCTATTTACAAGCGTCTAGCGCCTCAGTCGCGGCTATATCTATGTACAGTGAACACTTATGAGCTAGCGAAGCTGCTGCTTCCGTTTCGATTATTCCGGAGTCCTTAGCTGTTGCGTGAGACGACGGTGACGGGCTTGATGAGTGGGGGCGGTTGTGGCGAGGGTCCGGGGGAGTCCCCTCCACCACCGCCCTGCAAGTGACTGGGCGGCGAGAGGGGCGGTGGCTGGGTGGCCACCAGGTGGGCGTGGTGGGGCGAGGCAGCGACCGAAAGTTGCCTTTGATGGGCGGCTAGAGCGGCGGCTGCGGCATGTTGATGCAACAGCTGTTGGTACTGCAATCGCTGGTAGAGTTCACTGCTCGTGGGTGGTGGTGCCACAAAGGGGGGCGGTGGCGGGGGAGGATGTCCTTGGGGTCCCGGAGGTCCAGCTAATCCCGGTGGCATACCCGGCAGTCCTGGTCCACTTTTCGGTGCAAAAGGATTGTAACGCTGGTACATGCTGGCCAGCAAACTTGGCGCCGTCGGCGGATAGGCTAAGAATTGACCAAACTGCGGATAGGCAGCTAGTCCAGGGAACATGGGACCTATCAGGGATCTCTTAAACGCGGCCAGTCTCGAGCGGGAAGCAGCCGTTGTCCTTCGCCTCAACTTCCCCGTGGATCCGCCAATGAAGACATCCTCCGCCGAGGGATCCAACATCCAGTAGTTGCCCTTGCCAGGATCATCGTAATGCCGGGGCACCTTCACAAAGCATTTGTTTAGACTCAAATTGTGCCTTATGGAGTTCTGCCACCCCTGTTTGTTGTCCCTGTAGTAGGGATGATTGGTCATTATGTACTCGTAGATGCCATTCAGGGTTAACCTCTTCTCCTGGCTCTGGCGTATGGCCATCATGATCAGGGCATTGTAGCTATACGGTGGCTTCTCGTTACCCTTTTTATCCTTCACCGGCTTGCCATCCGTGGACTTGTTTTCGGCATCGCCATCGGTGGTCTCACCATCACACTCTATGTCCTCCTCCACGAACTCCTCATCCGCTTCCTCCGCATCGCTTTCGTTTTGATTGACAACTGGTGCCGGCGACATGGAGGTCACATCCAAATCCGATTCGGGATCACTTTCCGCCTCCTGATCCTCGGAACCCCAGGTGCTGGCATTTAGATTGTTATTATTATGATTGGGTGGGAATTTCGCCGGGGGTTTCTTATCCACTTCCTCCTCCTCGTCGTCGTCATCGTGATGCTCCAAAGTCTCGGGTAAAATGGCATTAATGGAGAAACTGGACTTCAAATGTGGTGTCCTGGCCATTTTCATGAGATTCGTGAGATTGAGGCCAACGGGATGGGTATTTTGCAGCGGATGCGGATGATGGTGGGTGGTGGGCGGCAGTGGGTGGTGTGGGTGGTGCTGAAAGTGGTGACTATGGCTGCTAATCTCGCTGGACGGCAATCCCTCCTCGATCTTCACCATGTTGTTGAAGGTCAGATGATTAACAACTCCACATTGCCTTGGAATTTAGAGGATTTTTAATATATAATTTTCAAATTAGTTTTTATTTTTTGTTGCTTTAGACAGATCAATTTAGATCTTATTTCTTTAATTCCACCAATTTTTTTGATTTTATAAAGTGCTTTTTCTTCCAGCTTCCAATTTCATTAGTTTTAAGCAGTATTTTCTTTTATCCCTCTAATAAATTGTAATTAAGGCTAATAAAAACAGCCATGATTTAACCAAATTTATAAGAAAATCTTGTTTTATAGTTGGTTTGCTTTTTTAATCTTTTCTTGCTTTGTTTATTTAACTTTAAATTCATTTATTTTGGCTTTTCCAATTCACTATATTTTCAAATTGGCTCTTTCGTTCAGTTTATTCGTTTTACGTTCAGTTTTACCGACGCTCGACGATAAAGCAATACACAGCCCACAAAAATATACACGATCTCACGTCCGTTGCTCTGGGGCTTTCAGTGTAGACTAAAAACGAGAATTCCCAATAATTCCCAATCGCAGTCGGTCCGGTTTTGTTGTTGTTTTTTTTTCGTTGTTGTGTTGAGCAGGCTCTTTAGAGGTGTTATCGGGGGTGGTTCTCGAATCGACCAATCAGCGCTGTGGAACGAACGATAGGTTGTCTCTGTTATACGCACTTAAATTACGCTCTCTCTTTCCCGCTCAGATTTATTTTGTACCATTCGTATTACTAATTGCCGCCGACATGAAACACGAAAAACGCCGACACCACGCATACAAATAAACATAAACACGGGTATGGTATATATATAGACCTATATGGCATACCCCATACCTTATAGAGTGGGTCACCCTTTTCCGGATTGTGGGTTGCATTTTGATACGCTAGGTCTTTCGTATACTTAATATTCTTTTTTTTCCCCTTGCTCTTTTATATTGGCAGCTGCCGTCGTGTTAATGTATTTCTTGTTTTTACACACAGTTGCCATTATTAATTGTATCTCGGATTTGTTGTTGCTGTTGTTGTTGTTATCGTTTCAGTTGCCGTTTGCCCCCGTTAATTTTTCGGCGAGTTTGCAAACTTATGGATGTCGAAAGGGGGTTGCGATTCAGTTAGATATGGACAGAGATTTGTGTGTTGAGATTGGGATTTTTATATCCATGGAGTAACATAAAGATCATTCGTTACAATAGCGAGAATTATTTAGAGGTAGTACATTTTAACAGCTGTTTAAAAATAGCATTGATTTTTATGTTCAGTTAATTTTTTACAACACATTTTTCGTGTCCGCAAACGATTAGCAATGATAGGAACAACTCCTTACAATATTTTCAAAATTGCATTTAATTTATTGCATTTGCATTTTTAACATATTTAAGATAATTTCTTTTGCAAAATGTAGAGTAAAATTTAATTAAACGTTTTGTGCTGCACAAAAAAACATAAATTATATATATTAGATTGCAGAGAGTTCATAATATTGTTTGTGTTTTAAATTTAAAAAAAAATTATAAATCCTTAATACATTTGTAATTATTTCATAGAATTTTCGAAATTATAATGGAGGCAATTGATCCACTTTAGAAACAACTATAAAAGTAGTCTCAACCTAATCAAATTCCATATTTCCCCAAGGAGCAACTTTTGAACTACAGAGCAAATCAAAAACGTTCTGACAATTAAATGTAATTTGGTGCAATCAATTTCCACGAAGGAATTTTCCAGAACGCCTGCAAAAGTCGGATGGCAGCTGCTTACATTCGCATGAGCCACGAAACACATGCCACATGACCGGCCAACAAAGACCCCATGGCAATGTCTACATCTATATGTCTATATGGTAACCCCTCCCTAACCGAACTCAAAATCGAAATCATTGCTGTAATCATAATAATTGTTTTCACAAATTGGGGGCGTGCACTCGTCGGCCGTGCGATTGGATCCCAAAAACACGAGTGTATCGGGGCAAAAACATGTTTTACCTGAACGAAACCCATAAAAAAAAGCCGAAGACCAAGACGACGACGCCATGTTTGTATCGGTATCTGGTTTTTGGGTGTATCTGTATCTTTGTGTGTGTTTGGCCACAACTTATTGGATAACCGAGTGGAGACATGCGCTCTTTTTGCTTGGAGAATGGGGAATTCTCCCAGAGAAAAAACAAAGAGACCCCCTTTTAATACAAAATGGCGCCCAACTGTCTTCAATTGATTTTTTGTAGTCCCATTGTTTTCTCAGTATTTCAATTAAATTATTCATCATTGTATTTTCTAAGTTGGGTAATTGTTTTGGCTGCTTTGCATACAACTTTGAAAATTAATGGGCTGTTATTAAATAATAGGGGATACCACAGCCTGGTAATTATAGGTTTCTTTTGAAATTGTATGTTTGCTCTAAATACATAATAAAGATGTTTGGAAGAAGGGAAGACACTTTCTAATATTTTATTAATTGTGTTATTATACTATGATATGCTAGGCTTATACTTTCAAATAAGTGAGGAGGAAATGAGGGTGCTATTCATTATTGATTACAAGAATACTAAGGGAACATTTAAAATAAATTATTTTGTGATGGAAATAATTTAAATCGTAAGGCAAAACACTCTATTAGGCTAACTCAGAACATTTTATTGATAGTTTCAACAAAAGATATTAATTTAAAAGATTATATACTGATCATTGTTGAAACTAAAACTCTATTTATGTTTAATGTATAATTTAACTCAAACGATCAATCATCCCACTCCCATTGGTTAACCAAATAAATAAAAAATTGTGTTTACTTTTATGCGATTCATCTTACCGATTTGCCGCTTAAAATTTCAGAAGCAAAATAAGCAGCAGCCAAATCCTTTTCGAAAATATTCAAAATATCAACAATCGAAAACAAACAAACCGACTTAGAACTTCCCGACAATCGGTAGTCCGGAAACTACAGAGCGTAATTACCCCGGACAAACAAAAACCCATGAAAAACGAGCCACGAAGCGAAAAAAAACCAACTTGTCATTGATCAAAACGCTGAAAAGGAGACAGATTTCAGTGCAACCAGCTACCAAAAGGGATTTATATTTCAGGATCTCTCGGATTTATAGCCCATTCGGAGATGGGGGCGAGAGTACTTTACTAATCAGCCAGATTTATAGCAGACATTTAGTTTTGTTTCAGCCCGAAGTTTTTCGATATTTTGGGCAGAAATAAATCCGCGACGCTTAACCCTTTAGGAAAATTCAACCCGTTCTCGGCCGTAAAGTTGCCACGCCCCGTGGAGAAACGCCTACGCGCAAGTCCTTCCGGGTATATACATCTAGCGGCCTTATTTTGATAGACTCAATGGCAGTTTAACCGCAGGATTAGCTTGTTTGTCCAACGGATCAGCGCGGTCCATGCAAACAAGGCTCTAAATCGTGGGCCATACAACTACCTGCGGAATCGCCGGGTTTTTGAAGGGGTTAAGGGTCGAATTGAGCCTCAAAGGATGGCCATTTCCGCTGTTTATATGATCTGTTTACATGGTCGCAGTCAGCAATGGATTCCCAATACAAAACGAAATGTCCTACCTACGCCCAATTCCAACACCCATTCCATTCCAGCTACCGTTTCGAAAGAGTTAAGCAAGGATTAGATCGATCCTGGTTCGGAGCGAGGACTTAGCTTAGCGCGTATTAATCTCATTTCGTGGACCTCAAGCTGTGTCCTCCTCGTCGATGTCCTTGCTCCTCCCTAATCGCCGTCGCTTAGCCATGCAAATATTTTCAATTTGGCCCTTGGCTTGATTAAAGGCAGAGGGTTAAACCCTCCTCGTGACATCTGATTTCGATTTGAGCGTCTTAAACAGCCAACAAAATATGATACACTGGTGGAAAATTCGAATGATAATTATTAAAACCAAAAATATATACATTTTCGTTTAATATACCTATCTTTCGTTTGACATTTTTTTATGTCCATTTTTTTAAGAAAAAAAAAAATATTAAAAATAGGCCGTTTATTGACCGAGAAAACTCTTAAAACTTTCTTATATTAAACGTATACAGCCTTAAGATATATAAAACTTTCTTTGACTTTTAACTTGTTTTACATTTCTTACACCCTTTTTTTTACTAAAATATGTTACAGATTTCACTATATATGCCTGGGTGAAAAAGAGTTTTCCTCTCGCTTTTCGCACTGACCCGTTTTCAAGGGGATTTACCCGGCGGGGAAAATGGGAACTGACTTAAATTGGCCAAATTTTGATGAAATCACGTTCACGGTTCTTTGGACAGTTTCCGGGATTCGGACACACTTGTTACATTTGTTGTTGTTGCTGTTATCGTGTGCTTCGTTTTGCAAATAAACAGCCAAATGAGTGTCCTAGAGGTTGCCTTAAGTACGGCGAAGGGTGAATTTTTGTGATGGGGTTGGGGTGGTCCCTTTTTGGGGGTTGCTCCATGGTCAGAATGGTCCATGCTGCGAAAGCATATGGTTTGCCAAAACAGCGGGGTGATGAGCCGGAAACCAGGATTTAGAAAAAGGAAACTTTCAGCTTTGGTGGTTGATAAGTGCGCTATTGCGATTTGAAATACTCTTTCGAGAAGATTATCATCTGAGATCATCTGAGAATAGAGTGTTACCATATGGTGGAGTGGAAGATAAAACAAGAAGATTGCTTGACCAAACTGAGTATTAAACACTAAGTGAAAAACAATGTTTGACAGGTTCTAAAACTCTTTTCGATGGTAAGACTTAAAACTTGTTGTAAAGGATTTTTTAAAAATAAATAAAACCTAAAACTTACTGAAAAAATTAAATTTGGTTGTAATAAATACAAACTGAATAGCTGAAAAAGAGATAAAGTTTTAAAAATTATAAATATAATATTAATAACATAATTAAAAAAAAATTATTTCTTACAATGTTTTTTCGTATTTTCAAACCTTCAAAATCTATTGTTCATTTAGCGCACCAAGTCAGTCGACAAACCCTTCAAAATAAAGCCCAAAAGCTCACCCCCTTCCCAATGGCCAACACTTGATAATTGTTGACAATGTGTTATAAACTGATTTACACGCATTTAACGAAAAAAGAGAAACACTGCCAAAACTCACGCAGCGCCAACACCAACAACAAACATTAACAACCCACAAACGCTGACGAAAACGAGGCGACGGCAACGCGACACTCGTCAGCAACATCGTTAAGGGCAACCGGAACACCAGCCGCACTTCACTGAGAAAAAATATGCAAAAGATCCAAACAAAATAAAATAAACCTTTCATTGAAAAATTATTTTGACTTTGGAGGACTTAATTTGTGCTTTAAGAAATGTATTTAATTGTGCTGAAATAAAGGTTGAAACTAAATGCACTTCAGCAATTCACATCGAATCATTACTCAATTTTTTTTCTATCTATGGATAATTTCGATCTTTAATGGCTTAAATATATATATGCATAAAACAAAGTAGCAAAGTAAACCAATTTGTTTAAGTTTATGTATAGTTTTTATA